TTATTGGTTACTTCTTAAGGAGAAGACCACACTGATTACATGATTCATCCTTGGAAACCTCCCAGCTATAAGATTTGATATGAAAATGTTCTTTTTCTGAGTTTGCTATTATGTATTTACATTGATTTTGCTTATATGAGGCACCTAAGGTTGAATATTGTTATTGTTTCTGAAAGAGCATTGTTTCATCATCATGACTATTACACTAGCATGCTTTCTGACTTGTCCCTCATTAAAATGGTTGGGGTTAAGTATTATTACTCACTGAGCTAGCGTCTCACTCCTCGCTATTTGTTTTTTTACAGAGAATTCAAGTGGTATTGAAGAGGATTTCATTAACTAGCGTGTGAGTTGGTAGCATCTGGTGAGCCCCGCATTGCTTCGCGTGGCAAGAGAACTATTGATTTGTTATGTTTATTTAGTTTCTTTTAAAAACTCTTAGAGTTGCTCCATTTGTCATTCTTTTGATTTGAGTCAAGATTAGTCCTTCGAATTGTAGTCAAGTGACTAGTTTGGAACTTTTTTCGTAATTTGGAGATGAATTGGTTTTATTACGTGACAATTTGATCATTGATGGATATTATATGGTGTTTTATAGTTGATATTAGTTGTGTTGTGAAATTCTGAGACAGGAAAAATCCAGGATAGGCCTAAAAACAAAGGAAACTCTGCCCGATTTTCTGTAGAATTCTCAATTTGATCATTGATGGATATTATATGGTGTTTTATAGTTGATATTAGTTGTGTTGTGAAATTCTGAGACAGGAAAAATCCAGGATAGGCCTAAAAACAAAGGAAACTCTGCTCGATTTTCTGTAGAATTCTGGTGAGGCTTGCTTTGGGATTCTCCCCCTTAGTGCCGGTCATGATCCTTAATTGGGTCGTGACAACTTACTAGGAAGTTAAGTGTGTCATATAAATTGGGACGGAGAGGAGTATAACCTTCAACATTGGATTTAAGAACTACAAGGATTCCGATCACATAAGGAAAACTGAGAATTTTAGTAGCAGAAAACTATGTTGGCTGACTTACATTACAGTAAGTTGATACAATTTTTCACATGGTCTGTAGTTCACACTAGTCATTACACTCATGCAAGAAAACCATGGGAGAGATTTCTTGTATCATGGCAAAAGCATGTGCTCATTGGGTGAAACTTTCTAGTTAAATTCGCAAATTTGGTTGTACTAAAGGCCATCTTACATGGATTTCATTATGGTACGTATTCAGTATGGCGTATGGAAGTATTTGGTACAGGTATGTCAAGTTTTTTTGCTAAATTTTTAGGATATTTTAAGGAATTCGCACGAAATACCACACATATCACACTCGTTCAAAGACAGATACATGAAGGCAAATGAAGGACTCGTGTAACATAGACTAAAGGTAAGAAGCTCTAAAGAAATCTTCATGCTCTCTGTTGAGTGGTGTATTAAGCTTCAACATAACGCTAAAGATTCCTGGGCGGAAGTATTCATCCATCCTGAGTTTGGAATGGAATAGTTTTCTACGAATTGCTATGGTGCTTGCAGAAAGATTGTATTCTAGAGTGGAGTTGTTGGATCTTCACAGGGATAGGCCTACTGCTTGTTCAAACTTTTCATTACTTATCATTTTTTCTAATAGAGTCACTAGAGGACACTTGGTCCTCCAGTGCATTTTCATTCTTGTTAACAAATTAATATTTCCAATGTGAGAGAAATGCAAAACTAAGGAAAAAATGTATGATCTGGATATCTTCACCAATATATTATACGTTGTAAGGCTGTCTCCGGAAGACAAACTCTCTACCTCAATGAGATAGAGGTAAGGTCTGTGTGCACTCTACCCTCCACAGACCCCACTTGTGGTATTACACTGGGTATGTTGTTGTAGTCAAGGATTAAAAGCAAGACATGCTAACTTGTAGTTAGATACCGTTTTTTAGTTCCATCTTGAACCAGCTTTTTCTCTACCGGTTGCTTCTCAAATGGGGGGCAGCCATCACGTTTCCACCAAACCTATGGAAAAAACCATCATCCGCACAGCATAATAAACCAATCAGTAATCAAATAGAGAAATGTATAAGGAGAAGAGTGAAGTAGAATATTAAGCATAATAAGCCAACCAATTAATAGAAAATAGAGAAATGTATAAGGAGAAGGATGAAGAAGAATATTTTAGATAAGGTATACATAAACACATTGCTTCTAGTATCCTCACAAATGTCTAAGATCTCCTGCATGAGAAAGCAAAAAAAGAGAGGAAACCGATGCTTACCCAATTCCTTTCACGCTCCAAAATATGCTCAATACTGTGGAGGAAATCTATGCCTTTGGGTGGAGTCATTTCAAGAAGCTTCTTAGCCTGCTCTTCACTAGTCTTTATTTCCTCCTTCTACAATTTTGAGGAAACAAAATTAGCTTGTTGCTGAGGTACAGTACAATGTTGTGTGCAAATATTTGTCTTAGTCGAGCTTTGCGGCACCTCGACGAAACGCCCTAGCCGATGTTGGACAGGTATTTGGACTCCATGATGTACACATGATTATTACATTATGTAAGTGACCGTAGGGACTCCCCAGTTAACGTAAAGCTATGTTCAGCAATAAATGATCAACTATTTTCTCTACAAGGTACAAATATTAAACACAGAGCATCTTGACTTGCAAACTAGCAATCATTAACAAAATATCAATCCCTACTTCTGCAACACTGTATCTGCAAAACTTCAAAATGGTTGAAAGAAACAAATGAGATGGCATTTTCTCCTTACCATAAGATCTATTAATAATGAGATATGATCACAAGTTTCCAACCAGAATATGCCATGACCCCATTTTCATCCTAAGACGTGCACCAAATAAAGTACATGCTATCATTTTATTGTTTCCAATGCATTGAGACATGTTATTGATGAGCCCCTTGCTTAAGTGGAGAAGTCAAATCATTGAGGTAATGGGTCCTCTTCTCCTGAAAGCAGTTTTTCACTCATATAAGATTATTCCCCACACCCACCCCACCCTCTTTTTTTTCTTGATAGCTGTGGTTCTGGGACAGGATGAGAGTAATTTTGTAGTTTGTGTTAGGCATGTATTTGTTCCATAGAATAGTAATCCACCTAATGGTGGGTTTTACTTTCTCATTCTTCCACTTGAAAGAAAAAAAAATATGTAGGAACAACAGGTTTCCGTCCAGGCAAAAGATAACACCTGCTAATGAGAATGAAGTAAGAATAGAACAGGGAAAAGAACTTATGAAAGGACATGTAGCCCAGATATACGCAACATCAAAAATTACCATAAATGATACTCTTCATTATCCACTACATTGTATATTAAGAATATCAGTTACATCATCATGAATTATGTTGCAATATTCTAGAAAAGAGCAGTCTAAAGATTGTAAAAGAGAATCACTTCTGTTAACAATTGCAAGGTTTCCTTCCGAGAACTTCTATTCAGAACATAACTTAAAGAGCAAAGGCCTCATTTATTCCCTGGTTTTCTTTTGGAAGGAGCATATAAAGAGTAGTCCTTCCAAACAGTTATTTCTAACAGTTTTAGTTTCACGCCTAGGCAAACCCTTGTGCAAGTATCTCCATATGCATCAGTGTGTGTGCTATATTTTATATATACATATATATTCACAAAGGGAGAGAGATGGCAGGAATCAAGGGACCACTAAAAACTGATACAGCATGAAATGAAATAAACAGCAAAGGCAATACTAACCATTGCTTCAGACGGCAATTCCTTCTCACTTTTCCCTGGCTCCTGCATGATAACGAACAAGTAGAAGTTTGGACACTATTCGGTTGAAGTTTTAAAAAAGAAAAAGTATTTGCAAGTTGAAGTTGTGTTTTATCATAAATTTCGCTTGGAACAACTTGAAGTTTTGTGAGCAGACCATTATTTAACTTGGCATGCTTAAACAAGCTTTCAACTTCAAATTCCCCATTTCAAGGTGAACTTGAAATAATGGACAAAAACTAATGGTCAGACATGTAGGTCATAGCCAAATGGGGCCATCATGACAAGAGACTAGATCAATAGGAGATAAAAAACAAGGACAAACTTTCTTGATAAGTTACAAAGCACGTAACCTACTGTTTTCTCTCTATCAGTTTCCTACAAAGTTTTTCCTTCTCCCTCCCTCAGCTAACTTTACTCTCACAGCTTCCCTCAGCAAAACTCCAGCAGAGACAAAGTTTGGCACGTTTTCATTAGCTCTCTTCTCCGATGTACACCACACCAAAGACATTTAAGAATCCTACTGACATTGTATATTAGAGAATCTTCAACTTAATGATTATCAAACAATCATGTGGATTGTCATGATCCTGATCGAAATCAAAGATATGCACCTGAATTTTGATGTTTTGAATATGTGAATTCAAGTTGAAAAAACTTATCTCATATGTACACATGAAAGAGAAAAAAACCTTACAACTTTAGTTGAAGTTCAGTCAATAGAATTATTTTTGAAACTAGTAAAAAAAAAAATATTGACTGAACTTCAACTAATGTTGGAAGGTGACATTACTACTAAAAGATCCACTTGCACTTTGAACTCGAGCTAGCAACATGGTTATCATTACCTTCAAATAGTCAAACAGAATGAGGCACTGAACCAGAACGTGGCGCCTGAAACTAGGATCTTTCAGCTGAGACAAAAAGAATGATCAGGAATATGCTATTGAATTTGCTACTTTTATTTTTATGCAAGGGAAACCCGCAGCCGCTACCCTTTGGGTGCGCACAGGGTAAAACCCCTGCTCCTATGCAATAGCTCGCAAACCACATAGGAGAGGTAACCCGCACTAGGCAAGCCCGGTGCGACGAGCTCAACCTAGAAGGCAAACCCCTTGCTTTCGCTGGCAAGGGGTTTCGAACTTGAGACCTCCAACATTTTGCTTAAGAAGAACCTTCAAAATTGAGAAATGCTCCCATACCTCGAGACCCATAAGTTTACTACTTGTAAGATATTTTATGTTGAAGGTTGCAGCATCATCCTCAAGGTTATGAACATTTCCCTCTTCATCACTTAAAGGCTGAGCCTCAAAAGTATTTAGAACAAGCTGCAAGCCCCAAAGAATAATTGATCACACATTACATATGGTTAATGAAAAAAACAGCAACAGAAACATCTCAAAGAATTTAAACAGAGAAAGAGGTGTACCGTCAAACTGGATGTAAATTTGTGCCACTTGCCGGGAGCATTAATCAGGGATGGCGGATTGCAGAAGTATTCCTGAGTTAGCGAAGCTAAAAAATTACTAAACAAGATAGGAAGGTGGGGGAAGCACATGCACAGAGCTTATCAGAGATACTTCAAAAATACAGTGATTCATACATAAATAAAGATTGTCTGAATTCAGCAAGAGACGACCCTATCACCCTAATCTGATATGCCACTCAAATTAATTATCAAACATGACTGCTTTAGAAGAGTATAGGGAGATAATTTCAAATTTAAGTTTGACAGAATCTCTTTGCTTACATCCGTTTTCTTTTGGGGGTGGGGAATCAATTTTGACAGAATCAAAGAGCTAGAACATGATTGTATCA